ACTGTCTGTTCAAATCACTCATTATCTCTTTGTACATTGCAATATATATATATATATACAGGGCTTGAAAAATTTGGCGGTGTCTCACCAGTCAGTAAAAAATTTCACCAGTCAGCATGACCGGACTATAGCCTTGCAATATATGTTAAAAAATTTTGGGGACAATTTATAGCACAAGATAGGCAATATGTTCAGGTATGTAATATTACATCATGTTATCATACCACTAGTGAATCTGGGCAACTCGGTTTATGAAACACTTCACCAGTACACAGTTTCTGAAACCGCTAAATCAAACTTAAAGTACTGCTAAAGACTGGGCGTTTTTTTTTTACCTTATTGCATTTTCTGCATAAGGATAAAAAATGGCCAGTACCTTTTTCTGTCCCTTGTCCCCCCCCCCCGCACTTACATGTGAACTGTTGTCACCACTGCCAGTCCCCAAAGCTGTCTTAAGTTCTTTGAACTTCCTGGTTTGCGGTGGAGGATACTGAGGGCAGAGGCACCATAGGCTCCTCCTGCCGTCAGTCAAAGTATGACTGTGGGAGCCGGGGGGCCTGGCTGGCCACAAGCTGTTTGTGTCTATGGATGCACACAGCTACTTGCAGGCACGGCCGGAAACGAGCACGCATGGGTGCCTCCATAGCAGCCGGCTAGCTGATGGCGGCACATGTGCAGGGGGAAGGGGGAAGAGCGATTCGGGGACCCACTAGAGAATGAGGAATTTAACATTTTTAAACAGAAATCATGGAGAATTTGGGCGAGTTTTTGAAATCCTACAACACTACACCTATGTTTCATTGGTTTACAAAGGCAAACAATACATATCAGGCTTAAAAAGTGTATGTAAACCCTAACAATGAACTTATCTTATTTGGTCCCTTCTGGTTTGGTAAATGCACCATTGAAAATGTTCTTTTACTGTTTGATAACCGCAAACAAATGCCAGTTGATCCTGGCAGAAATCTTGTGAGCTGATAACTTACAGTATTTTTTGCCTATGCTGACTGTTATCAGATAGCATTGTTCACAGTTTTCCCTGAGAACCACAGAATACCCCCAATGTTATGGATATGATGAGAGGTGGAGGTGTTCTATAGACCCAAACCAGTTCCAGTCTTAGGGTAGCATCACTGCCCCTCCATAAATGCACTGCATTGTCACCCTAGGACAGGAAGTGTGGCAGGATCACCAGATGGATGCAGTCACCACATGTAAGTAAGCTGTATTATATAATACATTTTTGTTGTACATTACATCTTATGCTTAGATACGCATTTAGGATAATATCCACGTTAGTTATTTAATTGCACATGAACATAACAAAGTCCTTACTAAATAAAATATAATGCTGTGCAATAACAGGCACTATGCTCATGGTAAACTATTAATAGATAATTGTATACAATGTCCACTTGAAGAATGTCATACAGAGTTAAAAATGAGCTTGTTAATTACAGTCACGTGTTAGCAATGTACAAAATATTTGTACAGAGGCTACACGCACATGGATATAAACACACAGCACCTATCGAACTATGACTAATTCAAACAAGGCCAGCATTAATAGGCCCAATGTGTTTTTCTGTGTCTGCAGTAATTACAAAACATATGACACAGTCGCATAATCAAATAATTAAGCTGACTTGGCTGGTAAACTCAAAGCCGTGTTATTTAGCTAAGAATGAACTTTGAAATGTACACAATAAAAGTAATCTAAGAACAGTTATTGTTCAGAAATTGCTCCTGGACTTGTTTCAAACCAGGATGTAATATGGCAACTCATTCAGGTGCAAACAAAAGTTTAACTCCCAGTTACAAGTTGAATCATCAGTTGAACTGAGGTCATTTCTGTAGACATTATGGGCACTGAGGAGAAGTTGTGGCTGAAAACATGAAGAATTGCTAGCTATAGCAACTCAGCAATAATTTATCCATTGCCTTTTTTCAAACTGACATAGAATTGTGATGAACTGCAGCTTATCATATTCTTAGATGCCTGCTGACTCTCATGAGAATAAATGGCTCAGCAGTTTAACCTCTTGTCGTCCGCCCCTTTGTAAAAATATGGGCAGACGGCGTGCAAGCAGAATCCCGCCGGGAAGGTAAACAGCCATTACCGGCTGTTATATACAAGCGTATACAGCTGGCCGATCGCTTGTATGACCCTGCACTGTGCGAAAGGCAGCGGAGTGAATAACCAAGCTGAAGTGAAGGATCCTAACCCCGTTCAGCTAATCACTTCTGCCATTTCAGCCGTACATTGGCTGGCTTCGGCTCCCTTCAGTTCAACATCTGGAATCGGCTGAGGCGAACGTTCGGCAGTTTAGTCTCTGTTATTCACCCATATTCTCTTAGGGGCCGAACAAGAGGGAGTGAATAGCCGAATGCTGCCGTGCAGCATTTGGCTCTGCTTTTCTGAAAGGTAGCGAACAGAATAAAAAAATGACATGTAAACAGCAATAAAAAACAACAGCACAGGGTCCCCCTCCCAAACAATTCCAGACCCCTTAGGTAGGAATGTTAGGAGGGACCCCCGAGTTAAAAAAAAAATGCGTGGGGTTTCCCCCAAAAGTCATACCAGACCCTTTAGCTCTGGTAGGAATTTTAACCACTTGCTAGGCGACACTTTAAATGCTTTTATGGCTCATCAGTTTAGTGCCAACAGTGATTGACTCCGATCTATCTATCTATCATCTCTCCTCCGATCTATCTATCTATCTGATCTATCTATCATACACACCGGCACCATCGCCGGCTGTTTAAAACGGTACCAAGAACACGGCTGCAGCAGCAGCTGTGTTCTTGGTATAACCACTTCCAAGACATGCATCTACGTGAACCCACTGGAAGTGGTTAAGGGGGAACCCCAGCACCCCAAAAAATGGGTTCCCCCCTGAAATTCCCAACCAGAATCCGGGCCCTGGCTGGCAGGGCAAGAAAGGGGGGATGAGCAAGCACCCGTCTTACCTGCGCCATACCAGGCCACATGCCCTCAGCATTGGGAGGGTGCTTTGGAAAACAAGGGCCTCTTCCACACAACCCTGGCCCGGTGGTTGTGGGCATCTCCGGGCAGGGGGGCTTATTTGCATTGGGGTACACCATTTCATAAAGGGGGGACCCAGATGCGCGATCCCCCCCCGTGTACCCGTACTTATTTACTAAATAACAGACTAGGCTTTTTTTTTAAAATAATAATTTAATTGAACAAAAAGTTTAACTTAAAATTCATACCAGGCCTAAAGGGTCTGGTATCACCTTTGGGGGGAACCACACTAATTGTTTTTTATTTTTAACACGTGCTCCCTCCTAACATTCTTACCAGACCTAAAGAGTCTGGTATGGTTTGGAAGGGGGACCCAACGCTGTTTTTAAAAAAAAATCTATATTTATTTACATTTTGCGAAGAGAACAGTCTGCTTCGGCAGACCATTCTCCCAGATTCGGCTGTGTCTTCGGCTCAGCCAAGCCGAACGCATATATTTTGGCTTGGCTGAGCACTTCGGCTGCCTTCAGCTGCTGTGCGGGCTATTGTGAATAGCCTGTACAGCAGCTGAACCGAGCTTTCCACAGCCGAAGGATTTGCCAAAGGTACGGCTTAATTCTTTGGCTCCTTTGTAAATGACCCCCTAAATAATAAAAGTTTTGGGTATAGATACACTTTATTACAAATTCACTTCAAATGCAAAAGATACATAAACAACAAAAAAACAAAACCATAATGCTGGATTATTTGTCAGGAAAAATAAACAGAGTTAGGGGTTCTGGGGAGAAAAAAATGGTAGAGAGAATAAAGTAAAAGAAAAGCGATGGAGCAGATTTAGTGGAGCATCTCAAACCTAACACCCTAATAAACAGGGCCCCACAAGGAATAGAGGTTTACAATAAACATAGGCAAACTATTGAAGGGCTGTGAACGATATTTTCAGCCTCAATGGAGAATAGATGTAAGATATTTTTATAATCAGGATAATTTATTGTAACTTTGTGAACCAATGTATTCACTCAAGCTGAAGGAGAAGATATACAACAGATGGGGCAACCCATGTCTACAGTCACTGAACATATCTTCTGTCACACACATAATGGAAGTGAGTTCTATCATATAAGTCTCCATGACCAAATGTTTGTAATTAAAAGATAAGAGTGTGGATCCATTTGTTTCTATTGATGGACCCTCACTGGTATCACTCTAACATTATGTGGCAATAAATTAGAGTGGAGTAATATTAGGGACCAAATATACATATTATATTTACGTTATAGGTAATTGATTAAATCATTTATTTTTTCCGACCATCTCAATTTGTTAAAATTAAAAACGATTCTGACTACAACCCCCAAACTTTTATTATAGTGTGCTCTGGTGATTTATATTGATTAAAAAGGTAATGGTTTAAAAAAACATTTCTGGCATTATCATCTGTCCACTTAGGAAAATGAAAACTGAAGGATATAATGAAACACATAAGGAAGTTGCTAACATAAATAGACAATTTCTCGATGTGCTAATGATTAAATTGCTCTGCATAAGAAAATTATTTGGATCTACATATGGAACTAACAACTATGGTATATGACTCTGGTGTGACATTTGAACTCATGCTCTTCTTCTGAACTGAATACAATAACCTTTGACTGCCCATTTTAGCAACAGCCATGGCCTAGCCCCTGACCCTGTGGGCCCCAAAGCAGCTGCAATCTCTGTATTAGAGTAGTAACACCACAGGTAGCGTAATGATAAGGTTTTATTTTAAGGTTGTTACTTTACAACACACAGAGGGACCATGTGGAACAAAAGTCACCCTCCAGAAGGAAGGACAGTACCAGCATAACACAAATAAGATACATTTTGTAATAATTACATAGTTACATAGTTAGTCAGGTTGAAAAAAGGCACAAGTCCATAGAGTTCAACCTATAGTTAAGGTACTGGAATGTATTTTTAGGATTCAACTCCTGAGTTTAGTGTCACTTTAAATCATACAGCAATGTCTTACCTGCCAGAGATGATATGTTGATGATGACACCTCCTTGACCTCCATTCTTCTTGTTCATAAGTTCTAGGCCAATATAGGTTCCTCTAATAACTGAAATCTGAAATAGAAAATGTGGGAATGAAATTGCTATACATCCATCACAGATTCATTTTAGTGTCTTTTCCAGTACAGAACAGACAATCAGAGACTGCCTACAGAGCACAGCAAATCTAGAACTTCAATGATTGAAAACAAAACCTCTAAAGCCCCATAAGAACATTACACATAAATACAATGGCCCTTGGCAAGATGCTTATTAAGGTAGAAATAATAACATATTGGACCTTAAGACCCTATTTCAAGCATAATAGTGTATGTATGCAATGCATTATTTATGTACTGTTACTGGGATAGTAAGGCACAGAATCAGCTTTAATGGCCTTGTGTTCCCGAATTTGAGATGTCTTTCCTATTTTCCACTAAGAGTATAGTGGAAAATAATTATCTCAAATTATGAGTTATGTCATGTGTATCAAGGACATATACTGTCCTAGACCCACAGAGATCATTCCCTTTTGTATAAGTGCCATCCTTGATCATTATTGCTTTGCAAAATCTGCTAGCATGTGTTCCTGGAGGAAGCAAGCTACCTTATTTATAAGCAGAACTATTACTAAAAGGTGCCCATACACCTTATGAATAATCGGCCGATTTTCGTATGCGATCGCGTTTTCGTCGGATATTCGTAAGGTTGATGGGCAGTGTACAACCGTAAGTACTGTACAATCGATCGACTTTTGACTATCCAGCAGGTTAGAAAACTTTGGCCGATCGTACAATTTTCGCAAGGTTGGTGGCGTTTCCGTACGTCAAAATTCGTACGATTGATATACTGAGCTTAGGGTGACGGGAGGACATTAGTTTGTGTCCTCCCATTACCCTAAGGAGAACTATGGGGAAAAGCCCTAACCTCATAGTTCTCCTTTAAGCTCTATGGGCACAGTGTGGTGTGATGTGTTTGTAACATGGTGGTGTGAACTGTGCCCATCCGTAACAAGGCAAATTGCCTTGTTTTAGGTTGGTGCTGCGCTGACAGTTTTTTCCCCATCTGGTGAGAATGGGCTCTTAACCTAAACTCAAGGCAGATATAAAAAATACAAACTAATTCAGCTGTGAAATCATTAATACAGCCTTAATAGCAAGCCTTGCAAAGCTGTATATATGCAAATATTGGGGATAGAGTATTGATAAATGGCTCTTTCTCAGATTGGTCTAAGGTTGAGAGTGGCGCGCCTCAGGGTTCTGTTTAACCTGTTTATTAATGATATCGGGGAGGGTGTTATTAGCCATGTTTCTGTGTTTGAAGATAATACTAAAATTGGGAGGGTAATAGACACAGACTTAGGCATTATAACATTACAGGAGGACCTGGATAAAATAACGGAGTGGGCAACTACATGTCAGATGTGGTTTAATGTTGATAAATGTAAAGTAATGCATTTTGGGGTTAAAAACAGACAAGCGGATTACACATTAATGGGTGCCCGGCTAGGGAAGTCAGAAATGGAAAAAGATTTGGGGGTCATAGTAGACCACAGATTGAATAACAGCACGCAATACCAGGCTGCGGTAAACAAAGCGAGCAGAGCACAGTCTTGTATTAACAAGGAAATGTACTGTAGAGACAAAGCAATAATTTTGCCACTTTATAGATCACTGGTTCGGCCTCATCTGGAGTATGCGGTCCAGTTTTGGTCACCAATCCGCAGAAAGGATGTCCTGGAGCTGGAGAGAGTCCAGAGAAGGGCAACTAAACTAATTATTTGGCTGGAGGACCTAAGCTATAAGACAAGGTTACTACATTTAAACTTGTTCACGCTGGAAGTGAGGAGATTAAGAGGGGACATGATTTTGATGTACAAAATGTTGAGTGGTGATAGCAACATCAGCAATAAACTGTTTACAGTAAACTCCCTAACAAAGACTTAAGGCCACCACCAAAAACCGGTGGAGAAATGATTTAACCACAAGGGGCTTCTTATAAGTTAGAGCGGTTAAAGTCTGGAACTCGCTGCCGCAAGAGGTGGTATCAGCTTAGAGTATTGAATCATTCAAAAAGCATTTAGATATCTTCCTCAGAGACCATAACATACAGGGATACAGGTATTATTATTATTATTACATAGTATTTATATAGCGCCAACAGTTTGCGCAGCACTTTACAATATAAGGAAGACATTACAGTTACAATACAATTCAAGACAAGATGGTAAGGAGGGCCCTGCCCCTGAGGGCTTACAATCTAAAAGAGGAGGGGAAATGATACATGAGGTAGCTGTGGGAATGAATTATGTGAGAATGTGAAGGTTCAGTGGTTAGGTTGAGGTGGGATAGGCTTCCCTGAAGAGATGAGTCTTTAGGGAACGCCTAAAGGCAGTCAAGGTGGGAGATAGACGGACTACTCTTAAAAGGTACTCTTAAAATACGGTCACAGGGACTCGTGTACAAACAAGCACATGCCCAATCACACACAGACACACAAAGGTTGAACTTGATGGACCGGTGTCTTTATTCAACCTCAAATACTATGTAACATGAGGGTAAATAAATTTTCCTTTAACGTAAGGATAAGGATCCGTTTGTTTTCCTTGTGAATTGAGCCTAATCTCAGTACAATCAATACAGTTAGGAGAATTCATTCATCTACATCAGCACCCTTTTGGAAGCTTGCAAACCACGGTGGGACTTGTAGTACCTCAGAATGACTATTACATTTTACCCATACCTATATACTAAGCTATCATACTTTTTTTGTTTTCCTCTGTAGGGTAACTACAATCCTGAAAGGTGTTTTCCTGATACCTGAATGCTTGTATTATTATAAAACCAAAGCAGGCTATGCAGCTCCCTTCAATCAACATATCCAATATAAAGTCCAATCTACTGAGAGTAGACTAAACATACTGTAGAGGATACAAAATATTCTTGTGAAGTTGTCACAACTCAATCACGTCTGTCACAGTCTGTCAAACTTTGCCCAGAATTGATAATTCCTTACATGTCTGAGCAGAATGGGTTTTTGGCGTGGTGTCTTTGTTGATACAGTGATTTATGCATTTCAGCAACTTCATGACAACACACAGAGCAGTGTTTTCTTTCTTTTGGGAAGGCTTTCTGTGTAAAAAGGTAACATTCCAAGGAAAATAACATATAACAATAACTGTACTTTACTGAGAACACCAGATGAGCTTTCCATTATATCATGTTTGGAATATTAATCTGGAGGATATAGTTTCAGAATAATTATATAAAGCTGAGAAATTATTATTTCTGAATAAAATGTTAGAGGGCTAGTTACAAAAAAAAAAAATCGCATTTTTCCCCCGGAATTTTCACAAAATCCAGTAAAGGTATAGTAGTGCACAAACATTTTCAATGCAACACAATATTTCAGTCCCAAAGTTGTCTCTTTTGTGCTCAAAGTAGTGTATGTCACACTGAAATGACTCAGTCAATCAGGTTCCATCAGAGGCTTTTAAATAATTAATACTAGAGTCACTTTGCTGTGTACAGAGGGACTAGATAGTCCTGGAGCAAAATTACACAAAAGGATAGGTGAAAGGGCTACATGACAGAGTGAACAGGTAATCAGTAGGGAAGGGGTTAAAGTCATTTGGGTGAGGGAGATGTCACTTACCTTGATTGGCCAGTTTAATTTGTACACTTCCCACCCTCCTCCCTTGTCTCTTTGTTTTGTTTGTCATGTTCAGTTTAGCTGTATGGCTTGGTATTGTGTTTGGGCAATGGTGATGGTGATTGTGCCTGCTGTAGGACTCGTCTTTGGTGCATAGTCCTTTGTTCTGGTGGGTTCAGCAGAGAGGTCCAAGAGTTATGTTTAGGAGGTCTCTGCTGTTATTACTATGTTGTCTGAGTCACTGTGTTGTGGCTAGGGGCCAGTTGTATAAGTGGTACACAGAGATCTACTGTATCAGAGTAATGGTGCCTTCGCAAACCTCAAGCCATATAGGTATAGGGATACATTTGTTAGGAGTTAAGGTTTTAGTTGAAATTCTGTTTCTGTTTCAATAAATATTTGTAATAAATGACTGCTGCAGCCATTTTATATCCAATCCTGTGTGGTCTCTTTTTTGCAGGTGGGGGTTCTGGATGTGAAGGTGCTATAGCAGGGTTTAGAGTGGACTGATGGCTTATGTCTTACCCTGTCATGTTCTCACATTAGTCAAAGAAGCTTTGACATAAGTTGTTTGGTTAGCCTTCTCCAGGAATACAGCCGCAATCATTGGCAGTGGTCCATGGAGAAAACAAGAGGTTACATTTTAGGCTTAAAAACTAAAGCTTAGCTTAAAACCTGCGTTTTTTAAAATGAGTTTATAGTTATGCAGAATTAACAAGCAGCATCAAAGCAGCTCTGCAAATCATTTTATACTGCAGTCACAATATCAACTTGTTAGGCTACTGAAGACAACCCTTAGAAGCTTCTTTTCTCACCATACATGTTCACCGTTGGGACTGCATGTGTAACTCACTAAAACATGTACATCTGCTATAGAACTGTATATATCCAGATCTGATGAAAGATTATCTTTATAGTCTTTTACTACTTGTGAAATCAAAGGACCAATTAATCAGCATGGTGTAATTGTTTTATTTTATAGTTGGCCAAATGTCATTAAGACGTCAACCATTTTCCACCAAGAATGCCATTTATAATTGAATAGCAGGAAAGTGAAAAAAAAATAAAAAATACTGGAAGAACTAGTGACATATTAGTTCTTGAAAGTTAGTGAAATTAGGATCAGGTATGGCCATTCTAATATACAGTAGTACTTTATAAACAAGTTAGCAATGGCCAAACACAGAAACACATACATACATACATACATACATATACTCACCTTTCCTCTGCTACTCCATTTGGCTGCAAGGAATGAAGCAAAATACCTTGTGTAAAGAAAATGAGGTCCAAGAATCTCCAAATTGACTGGTGGATGGGAAGTCATCCTGAAAACACGCAACTTTGCAACACTATATCCTATTATAAAATCCTGTGTCTCTAATACTGCATAGCAGAGACCTTCCGTTAAACTTCTATGGATT